CCAGCAGGCGGGTGTCGCGGTGGAGTCGACCGGAGCGCGTCGGGTGGCAGCTGATCACCTCCACTGGCCCGGCGGGGGACGGCACGCGAGCGCCGGCTGCCAGCAGAGGCGCTGGCTCCAGCCGCCGCCAGTGTGCGATGGCAGCGGAGAGGTCGGTGGTAGGCCCAGCGCGCAGCAGCACGCGCCGCAGAGGCACGGTGTCAGCCGTCATCGCTGAGTCGAGTACACAGAGCGGTTACACCTGTGGAGCCAGCGGATAGATGGTAGAAATAACACGAACCCCGGCCTGACACATGAGGCAGTAAAGGAGACAAGCTTAGATACGAGTACACAACACAATGCACAGGATAAAGGGAGTACCAGGAAATGGCGGTCGCTACTCGCTAGCAACATACGGCCATTACCACTCATACACAAGCTTTCACTTATAACCCTGCTGGCATTAGTAACATATCACAGCCGCAGTTCTATAGTGTCACCCCGATTCACATGTCCCCTTAAATCCACAGAGTCTGGTGTACCACAGACCTGCGTCGGTCATTACACGTCACCGCCACGACTATCTCACGCCACGGTCATTTCACTGGCACACACTTATGTCCGCACCCACTGGGACACATTCGATTAGACGAAAACCACTGCCGCATGTGGCTCAAATGTCCACCGTGTGCGCAGCCCTGGCACCAGACCTGCAGTCCTCGCACCACGCGGTGGCACAACGCGCACGTACTGGGCGCGTGGCACTTGTGACACCACCATCCAGTCCTCTCGAGCGCCGCGCCGCACCGACCACACTGCAGCTTCAGCACCATCTGATTCAGACAGCTAACTGTGGGGATTGGCGACAGGCGCACCACCTCCGTGGCCACATTCCACAGCTGAAAGCGGGCCAGAAGCTCTAGGTAGGCCATACACCAGTGCTCTGCGGCAGCTGACTGTAAGTGTGGCCGCAGCCGGTCTCCCAGCACCACCATCACTGACACAGCCGTCTGCACATCCCCGTCCACGGCGTAGTGCTGCAGCATGTCAGCCACCACGCTCCCCACCGGCCAGTCGGCGACCAGAGACGCCGGGATGGCGAGCAGGGACAGGTTCAGCTGTTCCACGGCCGCAGGGTTGGCTGGCAGGCGCGCGGCCGCCGCCGCCGCTGCCGCCGCCGGCTCGATGGCCGCGGTCTCGGCGCCCACCTGCAGACTCTCGGGCGGCGGAGAGCCATCAGCTAATTCGTGGCGCGGCTCGAACGCCTCAGTTGGCAGCGTGTAGTCTGGTGCCACGTCCAGGTCGTCATAATCCAGGCACATCTCATTTACCTCACCGTCACCGAAGAAGAAGTCACCCTGCGCGTTGGCCAGGCCGGACGCGATCGTGGCCAGATTTTGTTCGGGCTCCGGCTCATCACAGTCCGTTTCTGCGTCCTCAGCTTTGGTCTCCCCACCTCCACCTGACACATTCCGCGATGCCTTGGGCTCAGGATCGGCGGCACCGCCGTCAGCACCCGCCGGTCGCTCCTCCCAGGTAGCACGGCCGGCGGGCTGCTCACGAGAGGACGTGTAGAGCAGCTTCACCACACGCCACGTGCGCGCCACCTGGTAGCGGCGCAGCGAGGTAGCCACGGCGGCGTTGTGTTCGCACATATCAGCCACGGCGCGCCCGTGCAGCAGGTAGCGGCGAGCGCTCTCCTGGAGCCAGTCGGAGACCGGTGCGGGCTCGGTGGGAGCCCTGACCGTGCTGAGGACTGATCGGCGCAGTCGAAACAAGTCCGAGCTGGAGAGAGGGCGGCGCGGCGGCCGGCCGCCGGCCTCCGGCGTCTGCCGCACGGCGATTCCGAGATCACCATCGGCCGACAGACAGAGTCCGTGCGGGTTGGCGCGGTCAGCCGGCCGCTCAGCGTCCTCAAACCGGTGCAGGTACAGCGTGCTGTCCTTTGAGGTGGAGAGGAACACGCGCGGGTCGCCCTTCCACGCAATGCCGGTGGTCACGTCCGTGTGCTCGCTGAAGGCCGCGAACGGGATAAAGGGCCGCTGTTTGTCCCAGACGTTGATGCTGCAGTCAACGAGTAGCGCCGCACTGGCGATGTGGTGCTCGCGCTGCGGACGCCACACCACACGACCCACGCTGGCCATGGTGGGGATGGTACCCACCAGTCGGATGGTTCCGTTCACCGTGTCCCAGATCTTGATGGCCTTGTCTCGCCCGGCGGTGGCCAGCCAGCCGGCTCGGGACGGGTGCCAGTCGCACGCGTACGCTGGCCCGTTGTGCGCGGTCAGGGAGCGCACGCAGCGGTCTGCGCGCGCCTTGTCCCATAGCTGTACCTGGCCGTTCTCGGACACAGCCGCCAGTGTGTTGGGCTGGCTAGGGTTGAACTGCAGGTCACGCACGCTCTCTGTGTTCCCCTGGAACGTCACGGCCACGTCACGTTTTCGGACGTCGAACAGTTTCATGGTGCCGTCCTGCGAGCCCGAGACGAGCACGTGCGGCTCGGAAGGGTGGAACGTCACCTTGTTGCACGTGCGCTTGTGTTCGGAGAAGACGTGATCCTGTTTGTTTCGACTGGCCTTGTTGAGGTCCCAGAGCACCACCTGACCGTTGGTGGCCGCCGTGGCCAGCTGGGTCTCGTCAAACGGGTTCCAGACTACATCGTTGGAGGAGAACGACAGGTTCAGGCTCTTGCCGATGCGCAGGTTGAGCCGCTCCACGAAGCGGTCTTCCTCAATGTGCAGTACCTTGAACACGTTTCTACCAGCGATCACCACTTGGCTGAAGTCCTTGTTGAGCGACAGCGCGTTGGCCGGCGCCTCCTGCACGATGAAAAACGACTTGACGCCCATGGCGGCGGTCGTCTATGCCGCGGCGGCGGCAGCGGACGCGACGGGAGAGTTGAGGCAGGTGCCGGGTGCGCCGACACAGTCCAGAGTCCAGGGTGCCGCTCGCTGGCAGAATCGCCTGCCGACGAGAGCGGATTGGTTCGCTGCACCTTTGTTGATGACCGTTTCCACAAAGTCGTTTGCACTTACACATAAACAAAGAGTAACAGCACACGTCTAAACACTAAGTACTTTTATTTTGGACAACAATATTATACAGATAATACACTAATGAAAGTGACATTCTTTGCAGCACATGAAAAAATAAATCTGATATCTCAAGATGAGGATTAACATTCATATTGTAAGAAAAAACATTATCACTGGTCAAAGATTATAAATACATGCTTTTAACATTATGCTGCATTTTACTTATCAATGGTTAACATTGACCACTCCATTGATTCTAGAAAGGTATTTATGTTCCTTTTATAATTTATGTTCATCCTTTTATGCTTTAAGTTCCTAGCTTTATATGAGATACGGACTTCTAAAATCTCAGCCTTCACCAACATTTGAAAAATGGGAAGAACAATAGTGACAAAATTTCTTCTTTTTTCTTTAAATTCACACCAAAATACACTAATTTAAATCTGTAAATGATACTGAACTAAAACACTTCAAAACAAAAATATCTGATCATCAATGTTTTACTTGTGTGCTTGTAAAATACCTACAAATGAAGGAAGGCAGCATTACCTATAAAAACTGGATCCTAGCTGTACCCAGGGCCCCTGGGCCAGGTGTGCCTGCAGGATCACACCCATCCCACTGGGCAGGCCACCACACCTGGCAACTTGTCACCCCACAGCATGCAGCCTGCTCCTGAATCTGACTCTTATGCCAAATGGAGGTTCTTGTACAACCAAGAACAGGGGGTCAGTGGCGTGAAGGAGAAGGATTTGACTACTTTGAGGATGCAAAGTCAGAACAGTGCCATATTTTTTAATATTTTTGGAGGTTGGGCTCTTTCTGCCAACCAGACCATTTCAAAGCTGGCAGGATGATAATGATTAGGGGGAAAATTGGTCTAGGTGGGCATCCTGGTGCTCTGATGTAGTTGAGCAAGCCCATCATGTGCTGGGGAGGCCACCCAGCTATTAGTCCTTGCACCTGGCCATAGGCCTGCTCTTAAGGTGGAGCTACACAGTACACATGTGGGATAAAAGTGACCATCCAGCCTGGAGCATGGTGTTCAAGGTGTGGAGGACAGGATTAGACTATCCTGAGGATTGAAACAACAGAATGGAGGCTATACTTTTAATTAGGCTCACGTTTTCCCACAGTCCTGTTTCAAGACGTCGGTGGAAACAGGGCGCCGGAGGGCATGTTTGGTCATGTGACTGTTAAAGAAGTTCTCCCCCTCTCTACGCCTTCTACACTGTGGTTCAGGTTGTCACATGGTTGGTGTCGAGTGCATTTCAAGAGCCTTGATCAAATTGCCCTAGGGGCCCTGTTTTCACCGTTGTCCCTATTTCAACAGTCCTACTATTGAAGTTACAAATACAAAGAAGTTAGTGTGCATGCATAAATGTGGAATTTTTCATTGGCAGGACGCAATTACATAGTTGTAGCCGTTGTAGCCCCACAGGACAACAGTTAAGATGAAGACCACACAGGCTAATAAATATTTACCTTAAGTTTGTGTGAAATTTTGAAAAGTATCAATTAGTAGGATGGTGCAGTATCTTGATATCTTTGATATAGATTTGATAGGTACCTATCTAATGGCTTATATCGCGTTCATATAACCGACATAACTTTATTATCTCGACCTCTCAACCTCTCAAGAGCGCGGTCGTCGAGTGTTTTCATTGGTTTTGGAAAATTATTATTCGTCTTTACGGCGCCATAAACGAAACAAATTAAATAGTAGTGGTAATTGTTCATTGTTCTGATCTCTTATCTTTCCTTGAAAATAATCTACCCAAGTCTCTTGTGCTTTTCATAAGAATTGAATAAATTAGGGCATTGGAATGAATATAATGAGATATTCTGAGTAAAAATAATTATTAACTCCACAGAGAATGAAAGTAAGGAATACTACAAATCAAATACGACGCAGCTGTTACTTATTGTGCGCGAATGAATGCGCGTGTGCAATGGTGCAATGCGCGCGTCGAGGGACAGGAAGGTGGGTTGGCGTTTGTCAGGTTATTTTTATTATTAATGAAAAATGAAAATAAATGCTTAAAGTGTAACATTTTTGTTCTGTGTAAATCACGATTGACGAGAGTACGATTTTGTATGCTCTTTTTTCTTGACAAGCCAGAAGTGGAGTGCTAATTTACGCAATGGCGTCAGCGTGGCCCCTGGCCAGCTTGCAGAGAGTTTGAAGTGGTGACTGCGACTGGTGATAGTGATAGGTACTGAAATTGAAAGCAACATGTATAAATCTTTTAATTAACTTAGTCCGAACCTTTTGAACGGAAGGACTTACAAAGATGTACAATTTAATGTATTCAATCTTAGTTATGAATCAACGATTCAGATTGAACAGATGGCTGAAAGGCTCAGAGTATCCATTGTTTTATAAAAGATAGGTATTGTGACATGCTATAATGCTGGCTTTCAATGGGTTCTTTAAACTATCCAGTACCCTTTCACCTTGTCAAGTCACCTGGATCAACTCTTACCTAAAGCAAGATGGCTAGGTATCATCAGTAGGTATCATCCTTATAGACCTGTGACTGCTGGTTGCCATTCTTCATTCATATCAGCATGTCACAGGTTTGCATGTTCTTAAGCATGTCAGCAAAACTTTGATGAAGCATTCATTGATATCTTGATCCATAGGTATATATGAAATTACAGGAGGGCAAAAGGACTGAAAGAATGACCACCAAGCAAAACTAGTGTGTTTGAATTGATAGGTCCAGATGAAAAGTTGAGCAGTCAGCATAAGGCAGTGTCACAGTCACTCCTGGGTATATTGTCATCTCTTTAGTGATTTGTATGTTTATTGTTATGGTTAGGCTGGATGATAATTGACTGAGCCCATTCTTCTGTCTGCATAATTTTTCTAAATGACTTAACCTTTTTGTTGGTATTTACATTAGGTACAGTCATAAGTAGATGGTCTAATTGATATTACACTCACAGATGGTTGTGCTGTCCAGGCTATCTCCACCATTAGCAGCCATATGGTCATGTGGTGAACTGGAATTGTATCCTACTGACATATGCATGGGAAAGTATGGCTCATCTGATTGGCATTTTATGGCTGGTTGTGTCATTTTGAAAGCTTATTGCTCAGACAAATTTTGATCTGAGTCTGAGCACCCACATTGCCTAGTACTTGATTGGATAAGAGAAATGAATACATATAAAAGGTAATAAAATGTTTTGTGACTAATGTCAACCCAGTTCAAGCTCCTTCAGTGTGCACTGTGGTCACTTTGCAGTATGTATTGAAGGGAATGCCCTGTGATGGGAATTCCTTGTGCCATGGTGAGCTGGTGGCAGTGGCTGTGTTTCAAGCTGCATGAATAAAATCTGAGCCTGAATTCAACAATTGATATACTTCTGCCTTCCACCTCTAGAGATCAACTGAATACCTGACTCAAGACCTGACAGAAGACATCAGCGACCTTCCAGTCAAGGAAAATGTTTGAGACATAAGTCTCCAAAGAAGGTGGACATCATGGGTGACAGAAATGATCTTGCTGTGGCTTTGCATGTCCAGAGACTTCAGCGAGCTCTTGACCTTACTGGATTCATTCAGCAAATAAAGAAATCCAAGGAAGACCTGGACAGCTGTGCTGATACAGACTGGGAAGGGACTTACAATGAATTGGCCGGAGTTCCCTCAGAGCAGACCGAGTCTTCAGATGGAGACACGATCGACTCAGCCCCAGATCGGACTCCACCCTCCGACAATGATGGGCCCTGGTGGCTATCGGGCGCGGGCCTGTCCCGGTCGCGGCGGCGGTTGGCCGAGGACCTGCTCGGCTCCTCTGACGACGAATTCTGGGACAATGACGACGAATGTGAGCGACCGTTGAATCAGCTCGACCTAGCCAGGATGCTGCAGCAACACCGGATGCAGCGCAAACTCAGTCGTCAGTACCGCGTGCATCCCGTTTCAAGCGGCCACCTGTACTACTCGGCTGGCTTGCTGAGTGAACACGACCGCCATCCGTCTGCGACGCTCTCGCCCAGCGCCGATCTGGCGGAACGGCCGCCCTCCAGCACCGGGCCGCTCGGAGGCGACGCGGAAGAGCCTGGTCTTCTGTCAGTGGACCCTGCCCTTGACCTGGAGCTGACGGACCTGGGCGGAGACCGCTCCGACGGCCGCCCCTACGGTGCCAAGAAATCGCGTTCCTCTTCCGACGGACAGAGGCGTATCAAGAGAGCTATCAAGCAGGAACGAGATACGATGAAGGCTCTCGCCACCCAGCGTCGAAAGTTGTGGCTGTACGTCAGCAAGAAGGAAGTTGGAAAGGTGCAGCGCTCGATGGTCAATGGACGAAAGGATAAACTGGTCATCCTGAAGCGGCTGGCCACCGGCTGTATGCGCGCCTGCCGCCAGAAGGCGCTGCAGTCCCAGAAGTTGGAGAAAGACGTGACCAGCAAGATGAAGCGTCTGACTCGTGAGATGCAGAGCTACTGGAAGCACTACAACCGCGTTGAAAAAGAGACGCGAAAGCGATTGGAGAAGCAGGAAATCGAACAAAAGAAAATCAGCTCAGAGCTTCTGGAGGCGAAACGCCAACAAAGGAAGCTCAACTTCCTCATCACCCAGACAGAGCTGTACGCTCACTTCATCGGCCCAAAGTCTGCTGGTCGCTGTCAGGAGGCCATCCTTGGCCACTTGGACGAGGGCAAAACGGACGTGCGCCTCGCTGCAATCGACGACTATGACAGCGAGGCAGCAAAGATGCTGGCTTTGCAGAATGCCAGAGCGGCAGCGGAACGCAGTCGTCAGTACGTTGCCCAGTTTGAGCACACACCCGGCGGCGCTGCCGCAGATGACACCACGGGAGCAACTGGAAACGCGCCAGTGAAGACGGAAAGGCTCTCACCTCTCCCGGAAGTTTCAGGGAATCAACCAGAACAGCTGGGGGCAACAGAAACCAGCGACTACCCGCAACCCAGCCTGTTCAAGGGGCATCTGAAGAGCTATCAACTAAAAGGCATGAACTGGATTGCCAATCTGTTTGATTCTGGCATCAACGGCATTCTAGCGGATGAGATGGGCCTGGGCAAGACAGTGCAAACGATAGCGTTCCTGGCACATCTGGCTGAACATTACGGCATCTGGGGCCCTTTCCTGATCGTGTCACCTGCTTCCACGCTGCATAACTGGCAACAGGAATTGGCCAGGTTCCTGCCTGCCTTCAAAGTGGTCCCCTACTGGGGGAACACACAGGACCGCAAAGTCCTGCGAACATTCTGGGAACAAGCGAACCTGCACACCGAAGAGGCGAGTTTCCACGTGGTAGTCACATCCTACCAGCTGGTTGTCTCAGACATCAAGTACTTCAGCAGGATCGACTGGCAGTGCATGGTGCTGGACGAGGCTCAGGCCATCAAAAGCACCAACAGTCAGCGCTGGAAGAACCTGCTCGGCTTCAAGTGCCGCAGCCGCATCCTGCTGACTGGCACACCCATCCAAAACTCGATGGCCGAACTGTGGGCGCTGCTGCACTTCATCATGCCGTCGCTGTTCGACTCTCATCGAGAGTTCAACGACTGGTTCAGCCGTGACATTGAGAACCACGCAGAAAACCGCGTCAAAGGTGACATCGATGAGACGCATCTCAGTCGGCTGCACATGATCCTGAAGCCATTCATGCTGCGCCGCGTCAAGCGTGATGTGGAGAACGAGCTGACGGACAAGATCGAAGTGATGGTCTACTGCCCGCTCACCATCCGCCAGAGGCTGCTCTACCAGGGCCTGAAGAAGACCAGTATCGACGAGCTGCTGAGGAGCGCTCAGGGAGGCGGCCAGTACAGTCAGGTCACCACCAGCCTCCTCAACCTGGTGATGCAGTTCAGGAAGGTGTGCAACCATCCAGAGCTGTTCGAGCGCCGTGACGTGTACAGTCCATTCCTGGTACGGCTTCCGGCGTTCCAGCTGCCTCGGCTCGTGTTCCGGGAGGCACTGCTTCACCGCTCTCAGCGCAGCGTCCAGCATGTCCTGTACAACAAGCTGAACGTCTTCACCGGCGAACATGTTCACCGTAGCCTGGACACGGTGACTCTGACCGACGGTGAGCTGCGCTGCTCGAGCACCTTCTCGTTCCTGCGTTTCGTGGACCAGTCTGCGGGGGAGCTGTGCGCTGCTGCCAGCGATCCGGTGCGCCGCTGGCGGCTGCTGAGGGCGGCCTTGGAGGCTGCCGAGCGGCGGCGCCGACAGCCGACTCTGCCTGGACGACGGCTGGGACGACATGCTCTGCTGCTGGACGGACCGTGTGACGGGCTTCAGCGACCTTCTTCGCTCATCTTCACCAGTCACACCGCGCAGTTCTACGCGCACGTCACCCACCGCCTCGAGTGTCGGCCCGAGACCCTGGAGCACCGCATGCTGCGCACCAGGAAAACTGCCGGAGAGCCGACAGCCCAAGCGACCACCAGTCTTGTGCCGGTGGAGACTAGGACTACTGCGGGAAGCAAGTCGGTCGAGAAGAAACTGCAGCTACTGCCCGAGTTTCGGCACCGTCCGCGGCCTGCCGAGGTTCTGCTCATGCAGCCCACCGACCTTCCAGCCTTCCTTCAGCAAACACCGCGAAAGGCGATGGCATGTCCCCTGGAGCTGTACTGCTCTGATCGCAGCGCTGCTTGGTGGTGGGACGACTACCTCCACTGCGGCTCACCGGAGGGACGTGACGTTCTGCTGTTCGGATCACCAGAAGGAGCGGTGGAGGAACGGCAGCGCAGCCACCGGCTGACGACAGTCGAGAGTGGCGGCCTGTCCCCACTTCGTCCACCACACGGCTGGTCGCAACTCATCATTCCCGACAAGCGGACGCTCATTACCGACGCTGGGAAGCTGTACGTGCTGGACTCTCTTCTCAAGAAGCTGAAGGATGGTGGACATCGCGTCCTCATCTACTCCCAGATGACTCGCATGATCGACCTCCTCGAAGAGTACATGTTCTACCGCCATCACAAGTACTCGCGATTGGACGGTTCGTCAAAGATCTCTGAGAGACGCGATATGGTGGAAGACTTCCAGACCCGGTCAGACATCTTCGTGTTCCTGCTGAGCACCCGAGCTGGTGGTCTGGGCATCAACCTCACGGCTGCAGACACAGTGATATTCTACGACAGTGACTGGAATCCGACTGTGGACCAGCAGGCGATGGACAGAGCTCACCGGCTCGGTCAGACTCGTCAGGTGACGGTCTATCGCCTCATCAGCAAAGGCACCATCGAGGAGCGCATCCTGGAGCGCGCCAGAGAGAAAAACGAGATTCAACGTATGGTCATCAGCGGTGGCAACTTCCGTCCCGACCGGCTGAATGCCAAGGAGGTCGTCTCGCTTCTGCTGGGTGACGACGTCATCGAGAAGAACTTCCGAGCGCGCCAGGCTGAGTCGCAGCAGGAAAGGAAGCGGAGAGCTGACCAGCCCAGCAGCAGTGGGAGTGAGAAACGGTCTCGTACCGACCAGGAGGACCTGTCTCAGCTCTCCTCACCGCTGGACTCTCGGCCAGCGAGCCGGGCGACCAGCGAGTGGTCTGCGGAGGGAGGCGGCGGTCCGGAGGGGCGCGAAGAAACCAGTCCGGAGGGCTCGCTGATGGTAGACATGGACATCACACCACTGCCGTCGCCCGGAGGACCGCCAGCCTCGTTCTTGGAGCTTCACCAGCCTCGTCGTAAGAGGGGCACCGGCAGAAAGCGGGGCCGTCCCCGTGGGAGCACCTCACGGGGTCGTGGCCGCGGTCGGGGCGGCCACAGCTCGGTACCGCCACCTCCGCCCGCTCCCCCGGCACCAAGTCAGACGCCCACTCGTCGGGGACGGGGACGGCCGCGACTCGTGCCTGGCGCACCAGTTCAGAGCAGCCGACCGCCCATCAAACTCACAGTGCCGCTGGCCTCTTCAAGATACTTCCAGGAGAAGCAGCAACGTGAGGGAGGCGCTGGTGCTCCCGGCCCCTCGGGTCTCAACCGCTACAGCTGGGACAGCTAAACGCGGATTGTGGCTCTTGTCACCCACCTCAGTCGCTATTTCTGGCTACAACTGATAGAGTTGTAGGTACTACAACCCACTGCGACACAAGTTGATGTCCTTGGGGTGTACCAACTGGTCTGCTCGCTGTAGACTACCGAACTCTATTCTATCCTCCACACTGTGTGTTTATATATCGTACAATGGTCGCTCTACTGCGCTGGGCTATGTGTTGCACAAAGGGGATAGGCTTTCCCGCGGTACGTTTTGTGTTCGGTAGACATAGATCCACGCGCTGGACTGCGCTGTATATATCAGACTGTTGTGCTCGCCGAATTTTGATAAATGTCTGTCACGATGCTTTCCTTTTGCCCAGTGTTTACCAAGCTTGTCGAATTCGGATTTACGTTTACATGATTTAGACGTTTGTAAGGCAAGGCCTCGCGTTACCTGTCCAATTCAGCTGCCTGCTAAACTTCATGGTGCCATGTTTGTGCTTTTTATTCATTGATGTCCATTTAATTGTAATTTGGCCGTTGTAAATGCAGTCGTTGTCTGTCGCCCAAACACTTACATTTAGGACCGCACTGTTTGTCTCATATGGTTTGCTAAGGTGTTTCTGGTACGGATAGTAACGATCCGGTCATCACTGGATTTTTGTTCTTACATGTTCGATTATGCTGCTCGTGCAGCAGTTATAAGTCTTGGTGTCTTGTAAATATCAATGTGTTTGTGGAAGACCAATGATTTATATATGAACTAAATGGGCCTTTTTGCTGTGTGGCTAGCGATAGTAAAATGATCAAATGTATTCAGCTTTTTAAGTAGAATTGTTCTATGGAACAGATATAAACGTCTTTCAGCATCTCCTACTTAGTTAGCACGAATTTTTGATCTTGTAAGAAATGGACTCTTCCGAACAATACAAAATAGGTATATACAAACATAAATGATTCGCTGCGTGTTCAGAAAAGCGGAGCTAAGCCAATGGCATGACGACGACGTGCGACACCGACTTTCTCTGCCATACCCACCGTAGATCTCACATTGTGCTAGTTCAGCCAGCATTCTATAGTCCGTTGCGGACGGGTAAACCAAAGCATTCCTGCGCATCGAACAGCTCAAGAAGCAGTTGCACTCAGACCGCACCCGGACTCGATCCACGGACCTTCATATGTCCAGGCCTCTACGATAACCACTGCACTAGCTAGGTCCTGATGATTTACGGGCGACCAGCTATGCCTGACCTCTGAAAAAGATGCAGTTCGAGCAGCTAATTGACTGGTAACACGAACAAGGGCTTGATGAATTATCATCTAATGAAACACTTGGTACAGATCCAAGGGTGTCAACTGTCAACTGCCCGTGGGTGCAGCAGGTTCCGAGTGCGCAGTGGACATCCCGTTCACTCGTTGCCGCCTCCATTGGTACCCGGTTTTCAGTCTACGCAGGTTCGTAGTCATTGTCAGCTTTCACTGCCAGGAAAACATGCCCCACTGTATTGTGCTAGCGTAAATTTTATTCGGGCCCTGCAGGAAGTTTGCGTGAGCTCTTCCTACTTTTAAAAAGTTGGCTTATTCCCATAGTCATAGGTGAGCCTCTGCAGACACCTTCTAGGAACTAGGAAGTTTCATTGACTCGTCCTCGCAATATAACCCGATTGCGTTGCGTCTTATATTGGTAAGTTTCACTAAGTTGCTCATTGGTGATCGAAATACTTGATCGATACCTAGTACCTAACGTCAAACGCCTATAAGCTTTGGTGGTGGTTGAATGATCCATACATCCTTACAATTTGTTCCATACCATTTTGATTTCTGATAAAAAAGATGGTTGATTTCAGTATTACGCAGGTCACACCCTAACTCCCAGTCCCATCAAGCTTGTTCTGTCCAACAGAGTCAGAAACTAAGTCGCATTTGCTTCAATCGCCAGAGTAAGACCGGTTTTAGGCTTTTTGAATGTCCCATCCGTTCCAATGCAGGTAACTTTCTACCATAGCTTGATTTTACCTCGTAACGCCCCGCGATCTGACCTGCTGTACGTTGCTTGTTGCAGATAGTTGTTTTTCACCTCAGTCGTCTCACACACAGAAGTCACACATGTTGATGGAAAATGAGCCGGTAAGTAGCTGAAGTGTCTCACTGCTAGCCTCGTAGTTGTGATGTGAATGGAATGACGGTATGATTTACCTGCCGGTTGTGTCACGAACAAAATTGAAAGGTTACCTCAACAGTTAAGTAAAACTGTCTAGCAGGTGGCAACTAGATTCATATGTTGAAACATCCGTTTATCCGCTCTATTCGGCGTGTGCGCATCAGTCAAGTTATCGCAGAACCTAATCACTCATCATGCCTTGTCCTGCACGTCTTGTCAGTTTCTCACTGACAACTGACTGACTGACACTGACTTCTAGTTCTACTCTGGCTAGAAGTTTACGACGATGACATCATATTCCGTTCTGCCACTATGTCGTTGTCAGTCGCCGTTTCCTGTATTGCCAGTTTTCGACGTCGCTCTCTGCGTTGGTAGTTCCCGACCTCGTAGTATCGATTCCTCGCTCCTTTTCTGTATTAGAAGTTTCTGACAGTGTTTCTTCTATTGGCAGTTTCTGACGGCTCTGACGCTGATGTTCTATGATGGCCGGTCAAAAGGCGCCGTCACTGTCACCATGAAACGATGTAAGCTCGCCTCTTAGCAGCTGCTCTGCTACCTCTATCCTGTTCTATTATGAGAAAACAGCGCACTGCATTGTAAAATGCAGATCAAACTCAATTTTGTTATTTTAAATATGGCATTCCTTTGTCAAGCTTTAAATGTGTTAATGTGATTCGCATGCTGTTCCTTATGACAGTGTGCAAATATTGTTTGAATAGTCTGTTTGCCCTCCGTTGTCTTAATGGACTGCATTTACATGATAGAATAAGGCGTAGCTCCGTCAGAAGCTCACGCTCAGGCTTTTACGTTTTCTTCTCGTTGATGTTGCATAATATTTCGGAACATCGCTAAAACTGCCCCATCCTCTATTGTTTGTTTAAATATCTCAGACCGACGAAATATGTCACTTCTGAACTGTAGGAAATCCTTATGTGTGCATGGAGGGAAGTATTGACATAAAACGCGCTGCTAACTGAGTGGGAGGAGGACAAACTCATTCTGATGGTAGGTTCTCATAATGGGGTGGGTTTCCGTTTGCTTTGTACCTATTTTATATTTCCTTGCTTGATTCTGTGTTTCTTTCCTGTCAGATGACGGCCGGAATCGTCCAGAGCCGCGGCCGGGCACCAAGAACGCTGCCAAAAACCCGCTGCCCAAGCCCGAGCAATACCAGTGCCTCGTCCGGGCGCGGCTCCGACAAAAGAAGATCAGCACCGTGGTGAGTAGTTTCCCAGCTGATCGTCTGGTGGCGCTGTATTCGCACCGATAGGCAGCGGTGGGGTCTGTCATTCTCCGACCACAGTGCCATTGCGCGTCCCTGCCTACCTTCAGAGTTCAATGGTCGCCCTGTCACACGACACACGTACGGGAGGCAGTTCGTGACGCCGGTAGTTACTCGGGTGTAGTGCGCTGCGCGTGCTGAGGACCTGCACAGCACTACGTGCCGGTTAATGTCGCTAAACTGAGGGTCGCTAGACTCTGTCGAGTAATCGACGCCGGCACGGAGCTGCGGCGGGGGCGTGCCAGGCGCCGCCGCCCCGCTCCCGCCCCGCTCCTCCCGCCCGGGCGGTACTGGTGGACGGTTTCGCGGAAGTGACCGTTTTCGCGGCTCGGTGCCGGGCGCGGATGGGGTGCAGTCGTGCCAGACGGGGCGCTGAGGGTAATAAATGGCGACACCGGACGACTGCCGCTGACATGACGCCCGTTTGGGTACATCAAGGGGTGGCGACATGAATGGGGTGACTGGGGTTTATCATCAGAGCCAACGGTGGCGTGGGATAGTGTTTCCGCTCGTCCAGACAGCCTCATGATCTGTATGTGCACTCTTCGGACTACGACTGATTTGCTGGGTTTTGTGAATCATCTCATGATACAGTTGTTATAATTTATCGTGCCAGTGAGGTTGCCCCCGGCTCACCACCCAGAACTGATATTCAGTGGCAGAAATATAATGTTTTAAGAAGTTACTTTAGATATTAAAGGTAGTGTGCCAGCTTTCTTGGACCGTATGGAGTTAATGGCCCAGATAAGGAGAACCGGATTTTTAGAACTTATCCATACCTTCAAAACTCATGGAAACGTCTTAAATTCTTCAAATTTTGAGTACCCCAGTGCGAAATTCGCCCCGACGGGTTGTCGGTCGTACCCCAACCACATTTCACACCACTATGAACAATAAATGCACACACTGAAATCGCTATTACCGATATGCTCATCCAATCAAGTTTCGATAAACCCGTTCATCATCATCTCCTGCGGTTTCGAACACGCCTGTTAGGTGGCTTCTGATGCTCGTCGAGGTCGGAATTTCCAAATACGCGTGGTGCGTCGGGCCGCGCGCTCTGACTTCGGCCAAGAAAAATGCGTCAGCTGATCATTGTCATTTCTGCCACTTGCGTGTGGTGAAATGGGGTCATAACTTATAAGACGGCTTTTTCATATCAATTATTTTATTGAATGGTGTGAAACGTTTTTTTGAGCATGATTATGATTATAATGGAAATCAGATGGATTAGTAACCTTTTGCTCATAACTAATGTAAGCCAAAAACAAATCCAAAATATATTTTCGGTGCTGGACCTTCTTCAGTGGAATGACAAAAACACGAAAGAGTGACACATTTTAAATCATGATAAGTAAGTACGCACTCGCAACGCTAATAAAGCTACTTCCGAGAAAACGCATCACATTCATATGAAACATCCAGATTTTTGAAGGCATCAAACATAAGACATTAGATACTGGAAAACTTTGGACAGCATAATATCAAATCGCTATGATATATGGTACATACATATGTATCACGTACAGGTCTAAATGAGCGATATCAGTTTGTAGCAGACACACGGTACCTAACAAGTAAAGATCATTCACATACGTTAGTATCAAACACTTCGTAAATGGTGTGTAGTGCATACAAAACATCATCTGCTAGTTTTGTACCCACGCAGTTGCGAGAACAAATCCCATTTTTGGACACCTTGATCCGCTTGGAAGATAATGGCTCCCTCACCACAGAACTATTCATCAAACCCATGGCCGCTCCGATCATCCTCCCATTTGATTCAGCCCACCCGTTCCAAACCAAAAGATCAGTGCTATACGCACAACTTCTGAGAGCTAAGCGCTTGGGAAGCTCCGTCGCAGCTCAAGAAAGGGGAATGAACAAAATCGAAGCCCTATTCATGTCAAACGGTTATCCTACTAAGCTGATAAGAAAGACAAAATTCACAGTCAAAACTCGTAACCGTAGGAAAGAAGATCAGGGACATCAACAACCCTCTGCCAAAAGTGACACTACCTACATAAGTCTCCCCTATGTTGATGACAGTCTGTCAAACAAAATTAACAGCATAGTTAAGCGCTCAAAACTCCCGGTGCGCATAGCTTGGAAAAGCGGCCCAACCCTGGCTGAAAAGTTGACGAACTCAGCCCTGGAGAGCCCACCATGCCCATCAGGCAACAAAAAGTGTCAATGCTGTATGTCAGGAGTAAAGGGAAAATGTCACACTAGGAACGCTGTGTACATGGTAACATGCCTACTGTGTAACACAGAGACTTTCTACATCGGGGAAAGCAAGCGTAGTGTGAGACTTCGATTTAACGAACATCTCCGAGATGCAAAAAACAAAACTAAAAACACACCATTTGGAGAGCATTTCACCCGAGCGCACCCAAACGTTCAAGTGACGGAAGGCGCCCTTTCCATTTCGATTCTCCAGGTCTGCAAAGACATGGCAGAGCTAAAGATCACTGAATCCTTAGAAATTCGCAATCGCAAACCGGCGCTCAACATTATGACATCATCTTGGACGCTGATCAAACCTGTGCCCTACTCTGAACTATGAGTACATAGTAAATGCCACCTTCACACACATACACACCCACACCCACACCCACCTATACACTTGCACCCCCCCACACACACACACAAACACATTCAGTTGCGCAAACAGGCATGAACTTGAACATATTTATTTACACTTGAACACACACACAGGGCCCACTCTTTATGTTAGGCCCATTGAAGAGTACGTGTCTGTATTTTGTATGCACTACACACCATTTACGAAGTGTTTGATACTAACGTATGTGAATGATCTTTACTTGTTAGGTACCGTGTGTCTGCTACAAACTGATATCGCTCATTTAGACCTGTACGTGATACATATGTATGTACCATATATCATAGCGATTTGATATTATGCTGTCCAAAGTTTTCCAGTATCTAATGTCTTATGTTTGATGCCTTCAAAAATCTGGATGTTTCATATGAATGTGATGCGTTTTCTCGGAAGTAGCTTTATTAGCGTTGCGAGTGCGTACTTACTTATCATGATTTAAAATGTGTCACTCTTTCGTGTTTTTGTCATTCCACTGAAGAAGGTCCAGCACCGAAAATATATTTTGGATTTGTTTTTGGCTTACATTAGTTATGAGCAAAAGGTTACTAATCCATCTGATTTCCATTATAATCAATTATTTTACATAAAATCATATTTCAAACCATAAATAATGTTCGACAGCCAAATAAAAGAAACAATACAATACGGGCTTACAGTTTAAGGCTCGACATTGTGTTGTCTACGATTAGACAGCTGATAACTCATTCCCGTACGTCGTATGGTCGTAACACTATAATGACCTTTGCTTATTGTCACAAGTGCGCCGCAATCGCGATTGTTGCCCGACGCCTGTTTGCAGGTGAGCCCACTACAGTTATTATACATATCTAAAAACTGAAAAAACTTTTAGGCGAAAAAGGCACTATTCCAGTATTCCAGGCCCATTTTTGATTTTTTTGCGATATTAGGTAAAAACAGAAGCTTCTTATCCTAGGAAAAATAAAATGGGAAATCTTTCAAAGGTGGCACACTACCTTTAATGAACCACTAACTGTTCTGGAAATTTCCATGTGAGGTCATGCAGTCACCTTGCACTCAGTAATTAAACACGTCTAAATGTGTGCACTGGTAGGCGTACACTGTACAGGGACTTCCATTCAAGGAACACCCATGAGGCCGGCGCGCTGAAACCCCGGGTGTCGCTGATAGCGTGGGTCGACACCCGCCCCCGGTTTCCGTTTGCTGTCGGTTAAACAGAGTGTGAGCGAACGCCCACCTCCAAGCTCCGACAGTGTGTTTTAAAGTGGGATCATCTAAGTGTCCCGTGTCGAGAGGCATGGCGCGGAAAGAGTTCGAAGGAGAGACACTGAATACTTAACAGCATTGGGCAAAAGCTGGAAGAAGAGCAGTCGCCGATGACTTAGCGACTATCTGCAGACGTGCTAATTCGGCTGCCGTCTTACTCTACGATACGTCTTTCCCCTCCTCTTCCCTATGGAGTATTCCACACTCCCGAGCACCGGGTCGGACCGCTTGGAATGGCGGTTCCTCCGGCGGCGGCGGCGGAATATTTGATCAGCAGCAGGCAGATCGACCGTCCTGGCCGACAGAGGAGTCCGCCGGGAGCCACCCCGGCGCCCGCCCGACGCCGTCGAGCCGTCGGGCATCTGTCATTTCCAGGGTTGGCAGGGGGTGGCAAAAACTGGTTTTTGCCAGTGGTTTTAACCGGTTTAAACCGGCTGGCAGAAACCCCGGTGGCAAAAACTGGCAAAAACTGGATAAAACTCAGGTGGCCCAAACCACAACTTTTCTAGTTAGGAATGGATCTGAAATGTACAAATGCATTTCTGGATGTTATAGAGGTGCACCAAACATTCTGAAGTTTGCCTCATTACTTAATACCCTGCTTAAAATGTCTATGCATGTCGGTAGACATCCACAACGGAATGTATTTCCATGAAGGGGAGAGTGGGGCAAGGCGGCCACGGTAAGTAGGGTGCCGTGCGCATATCAGTGGCAGATACCCCTTCGCACTTCTGATTGTGCAGGACTCACCCTTGCACTGGCTCATTTGTCAACCCCAAAATGCATCTTACCTTATACCATCCTTATGGAAAGCCCATGAAAGCGTTTTTGAATTATACAACACTTCAATGGTCAATGTCACTTCTGTTTGAAAGCATAAGGCTTTCACCGAATTCTCCTTGCAATGTTTCATGTTCAAATCCATGTCTAGGCATATCATTGTGATGGTTTAGAGTTTTTGCCAGTTTTTGCCAGTTTTTGCCGGTTAAAACCGGTTTAAACCGGCAAATGGCATAAACTAGTTTTTGCCGGCAAAAATGCCAACCCTGGTCATTTCAAGGCCGGCGGCGGCTGGGTCTCCCGTGCCGACCTGTGGGCTGCGGTCTGGGCTGCGGTTCTCTGTAACCGAGCGCGGCGGTTTCACGGGCGCGGTCAATACCCATTACCTGGTGGAGATATGCCGCCGAGAGACTGGCTGGCGGCAGCCGGTGCTTGCGTGCGGCGCATGAGATCGTGCAGGAGCCCCGTTTCAGTGAAGACAAGCCTGCGATAGCGGCTATCGGTTGTGCCTGGGAGGATTATTCTTGGATCGAACTGATCGCTTTGAAGCGGGCTGCCTTGATGTAAGCGCGCCTTATTGAGTGAGTTAATTAGGGCGTGCGATCGCTGCCTCAATTCAGCTAATTCTGCTCCTGCGCAGCGGTAGCGGAAGTAGTGTTATGGGGTCTCCAAACTCTAGCCAGGTGATTGTACTGGCTGCCTTGCTGACCTCTCTGGGTTCATCCCTTGATTTACCACGTCTCCAAGGTTAGACATAGTCATTAGTTAGCCCGTTATGCGTCAGCAACGTTCACTGAATGTCCGACGGTCTCTTGCGCACTTCCTCATAATTACCGTTTCGCCGTATGACTTCTGGAGATAAATGGTAAAAGACCAGTCTCATTCCCGGATTGTTCCCGTCGCAATATTGTCGCTCACTTCCAATTTACGTCCGTTTCGGTAATCCTTGTGCATTTAGTTCCGTACACAATATTGGCTTGTCCCGTAATCAGGGGCGCTGCTGAATTATCTCGATGCAGTTACGCGCCTCTGCTGGCAGCTGCCTGCCACCCCGCTCCTGGAGCGTGATGTGCTTTGACACGGCGCCCGGCGCGCGACTAATTGTTTGGCGTCCGCCGTCCGATGGGTGGGACGCGCCGTCGTCGCTCTATGTGTGTCTACGGAAGGTAGCGACAGGCCTGTGTACACCAGCCCCGGGCCGGCGGTCTGTGCAGTATGTGTGTATGGGACACCCCGCCGAGTGACCCCAATGAATGTGTGTGCGATGTATGCCGATGTGTCGGGCTGCTTGTGTAGGCAAGCGTGCAGTGCAGGGCTTTGGCTTCGTGGCTTTCAATAGGTTCAAGAAGTTGATGGCAATGAATAGAGCCTGTTCCAACATCTTCATTGATGTTACAGCAGCTACTACTGCACCTCACGCTGGAAGATAAGTTATTGGCGTCATATAACCCTCAGAGGTTGGACACGCCACAAAACCCAATCATCATCTACATTGATATTCCTTCGTCTACATTGATTCTATGAATTAACCTTATCGTTTTGTCGCCAGGTCTCCGGCCAGAACGTGGAAAAGTTCCAGGAGGCCTACTCGAAGCTGATGCTCTCCAGCATGGACTCCCTGAAGCGGGTAAAGAAGGCGAAAACGGCGCGGATGGCGCAGTAGCGCTGACGCATCACTGCCATCTGTTGGGGGCGGCTGGAACTAGGTCTGCGGAGCGGCCGTCCGGTCGTTGTCTCTGAAGAGCGGCGCCGGCCGGCTGACTCGATGGACCTCTGGCCACCATTGGGGCGGGGCGGGGCCGTGAAACGGACTTTCCTGAGGCGCGCGCCTTGCTGTGATCTCGGGTTGGCCCTGCGCGCCGGTGGCTTCACATTCCTCTGGCGGCTGGGACGGTGTGTGTCGCGCGTACCGTCCGCCGCTGGCCGCCGCGACACCTGCCGAGCGGTGCCGACTCGCGCTCAGATACAATATATCTATCGGTTCTTAGCGGGCTGTTTGACATGTGTATGTCGCTGGAGGAGAGAGGTAGACACAGAGGGTCGGAAGTAGGTCGCGCACAGGTCGGTGACCCGTCTGCTCTTCGTGACCGTTGTGTGCGTGTGAGCGCACGTGCGCCCGTAGATCACGCGCTATGAACTGAATTTCCGTGGCAGCTAATGCAGCACTGACGCCGACTTAATTCACTCGGGCGTTTTATCGTGGCGCTGCGTCTCCGTGCGACAATGGGCGCCGCAAGACAATGAATGGCCATAATGATTCGCGAAAGTAATTGAGTGCGAGACTTTAACTGGGGGCCGTTTGTATGGAGGCCGGCCGGCCGGACGGCGGATCGGCCGATAGTACTGGGCCATTGTTGTGCCTAACGAGGACAGTGGGCTTCGTAAGCACCGCGCCGGGCGGCGGCTGGCGGCGGCCGCCCGGCGCCCTTTAAAGGCAATGGCCGCCACGGGGCGCAGCCGGCATAATGCGGCACCGAGCACCGCCTGGGTCGCTAAATGATGACGCTGTTACCGTACCTGTCTCTATTCGGCACTCAACCTGTCGGCAGATTCGGTAATGTGCCCCTAGGTTTGGTGGATGGGAGTGGCGCCCCTAATCCACATTTGCTGCTCGCGTGCCATTAAAGGGGCCCTCCCACCTTAACATTAGTTTTGAGTTGAGATAGCCAAATTGCTGGCCATGGCCCGCAAATACCGGTTTGGGCACTCACAACATCGAGAAATGCTTTAATTCGAAGATATGGAATTTCAAACTTGCAGTTTTCGGATTCTAAGGGGCTAATGCATTGGTATGCCCCCTTAGAATTTGTGACGTCAGCGGAGATCTAACGATTTTTTAATCTTAGACTAAAACCATCGTTAACACGTGGTGGTATACGCTGCTTTGCGCGCAACGTCTGCCGCACTTTAAGGCTGCCAAATTATTGCTTCCAAATAAAGTCGCTAGTAACAGGGAGATCCCAAAAAAGTAAACAAAAGTAAAAGCCTAATATCTTGAAAACCAGTGAATATTTTTCGGTGAAATTTGGTAGATATTCGTTTTCGCTCTTTCTGAACCAAGGGACATCACTTTCATGCCAATTCATTAACTTTTTTGAAGGTGGGAGGGTCCCTTTAAACGTGTTTAGGACGCAGCTGGGCGAATACGTTACTCCTTAAAAATCAGAGTTCTGGGGTCGCTAAAAAATGATCGCTGGCTGACCTGCTTTACTTTATTGAAAAGAACCGGTTCATTTAGCCGATATTCATCTGAAGGCTGCTATGTGTCGCTTTAGTTGGTCGACCATCCTCCCGCTATACAACTCTGGATCAAAAGGACTTTATAGGCTGACGAGAGGAGATCATGCCAAGCCGCTCTTTCGGCTCTACATAGTTGTTCATTTGGTCTGGAGATATAGTCATGTGAAGTGGGAACGTTCTAGCTAAAGATGTTTTGTGAATTGGGAAAGTTTTTAGTTGTCTCTTTTTCCAATGAAACTACTGTTTTCCCTTTAACCCATTTATGCCCAGGAATATTGACCATCATGAAAATCGACGAAATCAAAATATGTTATGCTCCTACCAGGGCCTTGCATGGAATCGAAGATAATTTTTACCTGCAGCAAAAGTTTTTCGAGAGAAACGTAAAAAACATGCGTTGCGAAATCGCAACGAAGGGCACACCGGGCGCCATCAGCGTTGCGAAAACGCAACGACGGGCACATCAGACGGACATAAAGTACACTGAATGGCCGTATATGCTAATATGTTTTGACAAAACATCAATCAACCGTCGACAACTATTGCTTGAAAATGCGGAACCCACATCCCGTCATGCTCTATAACCCGCCTAAGAGCCTCAGTGATGGCATAACTTCATGATTCGCGAACGGGGAGATGGCAACACGGTCATTATCAACCATTTACTTTGTCCTTGCTGTTCATTTAAAGTTGTGGTCGACACGTATCCAGGGTGGTGCTTTCTTTTTGGAAGCTAGACAGAGCCATTACCCCCACCCAGGGGCGGATCCAGAAAATCTCCAAGGGAGGGGCCATTAGAAACCAGGAGGCCCCCCCATAATCCCACCTGTTGGAGGCCCCATCTTCCCACTTGTTGGGGCCCCCCAAAAAAAAACTGCGTCTATTGAGCTTATCTAGCTGTTCAGGCAACATCTCAACATCTGTGCAGGCTTGGAGGCCCTCTGTGCAGGTTAGGAGGCCCTGTAAAAGTGGTCATCTCTGTGAGTATAAGAGACCTCCAAGTTATGAAAAGCTTTACCAATCTTCTAACAAAGAAGTCTTCTCAGCTAGTCTTCTAAGAAATAACTAAGTGGGTAGGTTAAAAAAAACTCATCGGATTTCGGCCACTTTATTTTCAGGAGGCCCCCTTTTCAGCTTTTTAACTTTTTAACTTTTTATTTTATTTTTGAAAAAAATCGGCCAAGGGGGGGGCCATGGCCCCCATGGCCCCCCCTTGTATCCGCGCCTGCCCCCACCTATCAGACCCCACACTGAATACAATTAAACGGAGGATTGGGAGTAAACCAGTGCCTCACGTATGCGCGTATATCCGCAATCATTCTTAACCACCCTCCTAGGAGTAAAGTTAAATTCCATTGCAGGTTAGTCGTACCCACTCTCAGCAAAAAGAAAAAAAGACCGATCCGGCTCTAACAAATTGCCCGCGTAAGGCGTAGCGCATCACAACAAATCGACTCCCAGCTTATCATGTTTACACCTAATCCAAAATTGTCATGGCCCCACTCTCAGTGACCTTCACGTGTAACCTCTTTCTCGAGACAATGCCAGGACAGAATGGTGATTCGATGTCAATCCGTCCTTCCCATCTTCCGGATAGTTGAATCCTCCTCCACGCCTCAACCCCCTGTTCCGGGCTGGACCGGCAACGTATATCGCAATCGGGCAGCTCACATAGGAGCGCGCCTGTAGCCGGGTGCAGTGAGTACTTGGGAGGGGGAAGGGGGTGGGTCATGGGTGGCCTGCCCACTGGCTGGGCTCAGTCTCCAGTCTACGATTGACCGTGTCCGCTCAGACAAATGTCTCCCCTAATTCCAATAATCCTGCTAGCTCTAAAAATGGTCTAATTAGATAAAAGCCTATCAAAGTAAGAAAACAAGCGTATACTCCACATCAAGCAGCTTATGAATCTATGCGAGTTATGAATCCTAAAAATATTTTTTTCCCAGACGCCCTCATTACCCCTGCCGAAGGGCTCAGCTACCCCCAGAGGGGACCCACTATTTTCCGACCCTCAGTTATCTTTTCTAACGTACAGTTACGTACAGTTATCTTTGTAAATGTTGGTAGTCAGCAGATTCTATCCAGAGAATGGCGATGCCTATCTGTCGCCTGATACCAGAATACATCCCCGTTATTCATTATATATGCACAATGTACATAGTAGATCCAATTTCCAAAGGACCTAATTATCTCTCAGCTCCGTTACCATCACCGATTGTTTGATGCATGGGTCCTTTTCCTACCATGCGATTTTCAGATGCATGGGAACACATTGCTTAGTGAACGAACAGCCCGAGGCCGATAATCTGCGAGAGAAAAAGAAAGGAGTTTTTGTGCCTGTTTGAGCCAGCAGATATGAAATGTGTCGCAACATTTTACGTGCGAACGCACCTTGCACTTAACATACCTATACACGTCCCTCATGGCATAGGCGGGGGACCGGGGGGGGGAGGGGGCACCGGGACACCGTGCCCCCTTGATTTTGCCATTTTAACATTATCCCTATATGTAGGCGTTGCATGGAAATGGAAATGGAAAGAATGGGACCAAAAGTCGGCAGTGCTCCCCCCCCCCTTAATTGAAGATGTTCCACGGCTACAGCCTCATGGCTACAAAATGAGAGAAGGAAAGAGAGAGAGAGAGAGAGAGAGAGAGAGAGAGAGAGAGAGAGAGAGAGAGAGAGAGAGAGGGAGGGAGGGAGGGAGGGAGGGAGTTGGGGAACGAGGAGGAGAGGGAGGAAGATGGGGGAGAGAAAGAGAGAACCCATAGCGTATCACGAGTGAAGTCTATTGTTGATATTCATACTTCCGCTACCCTGCCAATGTGCCCATCGTTGCGTTTTCGCAACACCGCTGTCTTTCCCATGTGCCCTTCGTTGCGTTCCCGCAACGCGACCGTAGTCATATTTGAAAATAGTCACAAACCCTTTTTGCAGCATTATTTCTTAACAAAATGCATATCTACGCTATTGTAGGGACTCTGCAGAATATGTTTGCACAATTTTCATTACGATATTATTAAGCACTTAGCCTACTTATCTTCTTTTTCGTGACGTCATCACTCACAAAACCTTCGACTTCACTCTGGGAGCTCTAGGCAGTAACTTACCGGCCGCACAGACTTGTAACTGCGTAGCATCATGCGCACAACCATGCCACACACGCTGAAACTTGTCTCATCGGTGAGTCTCTTTTACACACTTCTCAAGCTTCGATCACGTCGACGCTTGCTTGCGTTGCGAAAACGCAACGAAGGGCGTAAATGGGTTAACTATTACCAAGTCGCCTCCTGCTATGTCCCTGTAATCTCATACGCCTAAAATCAACTCCGTCACCTCGTCCGTCTGAAATGACCACTGGTGACCCCGTGACTGACCCGGCGCTCCCCTGGCATCTGACCCCCGGCCCACCCCCGGCACACCCCGCTCGCCGCCGCCAGCCGATCCAATTTGGTGCGCCGCCGGGCCGGCCCGGTCACCCGTCTACTGTTGTTAATACGAACGATCGCAATAACGCGCGCTGCCGCCGTGGCACGGCCGGTCGGGGGCGAGAAATGGACAGCAGTGCGGCAGTGTCGATAGCGGCTGCGGCCACCGCCGCCGATCGGCGCTCTAAAGACACGGCGCCACCGACAAAGGCAACTGATCGTCGCCGCCCGATGGATCACCAGAAATGGCTGCCGCGGGCTGACCTTAGCTGCGGGAACAGCCAGATTGCAGCTCGGCACCAGCGCGATACATTTCCAGCC